TTTTTGTCGTCCGTTTTTTTTTTTTTTTTTTTCTTTACTCCTCCTTACTTTCTAATTACTTTTCTGAATTTGAACTTATGAAGAAAAAGAAAGTCATCTTGTACACATATCATTAATTTAGGAAAAGTGTTTAAAAAAGAAAAAAAAAAAGGGAAAAAAGAAATGAACAATTGATGAAAACAAAAAAAAATAAAAAATAAAAAGTAAAATTTCTGATTGAAAATTTATTTTTGTTTTTTTTTTCAAATTGAAAAATTTACTTTTTATTTTTTATTTTTTGTTGAAATTTAATTTTTTTTTTAAAGATTCTTTGCAATCAATTCATCAATATTGCCACAATTTTACAGATGAATTAGTTTAAAAGGATGATGAAAATGAAAATCATGTGAAAAAGAAAATAAAGAATCAAAAGAAAAGAAAGAAAGAGAGAGAGGAGAGAGAAAGAGAGGGAGAGGGAGAGAGAGAGAGAGAGCTATGATAACAACTGTTAAGAGGAGTGAAATGATCGGATAAAAATTGAGAGAATGTAATGATAAGAGATGATAATAAATCATGGGTTGGTTACGAAGAGTAAAATATCCGAATAGATGAGATTGAAATTAAGCGGAGACCGATGTAATATATGTATTTATGTGTATGTATGTATCTGTATGCATGTATGTATGCCTATATGTATGTATATGTGTATGTATATGTATTATCATGTGTATGTATATGTATGTATGAATGCATGTGTATGTATATGTACGTATGTGTATGTGTATGTGTATGTATATGTATGTATGTACATGTATGTACATGTATGTGTGTATGTGTATATATATGTATGTGTGTATATGTGTATGTATATGTTTATGTGTGTATGTGTGTGTATATGTATGTATGCATGTATGTATGTATGTATATATGTATGTATGTATGTATGTATGTATGTATGTATGTATGTATGTGCATATATACGTATATGTGTATGTATATATGCATGTGTTTGTATGTATATACATGTGTATATGTA